ATATATATATATATATATATATATATTAGAATATAATTTTTATTTTTTAGATAAAAAAAATTGTGTATGTGTAAACAGTTTGTTTTCGATTTTTAACCACACTGGTGCACTATGTTGGTTGGCGTTCTGGAACGGCCCATTCTGAATTCAGAACGGTCCGTTTTGGAAGCCAAAACGGTCCGTTCTGGTTTCAGAACGGTCCGTTTTGCTACACGCGTTGATCTTAAATAATGCATCTAGAACAGACCGTTCCAGATGCAAAATTTACACGCTATGAATGCAACCAGAACGGGCCATTCCGGTTTCAGAACAGGCCGCTCTGGTTCCAGATGCATGAAAAAATTTGACATCCACATGGCATCTACGTAGCTTCCATAGGACATCTACGTAGTTTCCACGTGACATCCACGTGGCCAACAGTTAATTCCGTCTAAATAATTTAGACGGAAATCCGACATTGTAACAATTTAATTTATTAGGGACCAAATTAAGACAAAAAATAAAAGTGAGACTAAATTGAAACAAACAATTATTATAAGGGACCAAATTAGGTTTTTAGCCTATTTATTACGTTGATCTTTCTGGGTTACTATAGGTTCCATCCATCATTGTGTTAAGGTGCCTAGAGTTTGAAAACATAAGCGCTTATGATGTGCTTCACAGGATTTTTATATAATCTCCGTCTTTCTAGAAAGATTTGAAGAATGAATCACTCCTGTTGGCTTCAAAGGACAAGGAGATAGCTGATCAAAATGCCTTAAAGCTTGTTGTGGAATAAAAAGTTTGCTTTTATTTAGTATTTTTAGCATCTTGATGATGAAAAGCTTATGTTAATTATTACTTAATTCTTATAAATCATGAATGCCTCCAATTGATGTGAATTTCAAAATTTCCAAAGAGAGAAACAGGAGGCCTATGACAAGATAATTCAGTTGAAAAAACAGTTAGACACCAAACAGATGTTGGAAATGGAAATTGAAGAGTTAAGAGGGAAACTGCAAGTTATGAAGCATCTTGGAGATGAAGATGATGCAGCTGTGCAGAATAAGATTAAAGAAATGAATGATGAACTGCAAGAAAAAGTAGATAATTTGGAAAATATGGAGGCCATGAATCATACCCTCATTGTGAAGGAGCGCCAGAGTAATGATGAACTACAGGAAGCTCGTAAAGAATCAATAAAAGTATGATCTTGTATACTGTATAGAGATTTGTCAATTTACACCCACTTGTTTTTTGAGTATTTTAGCAAGCTACGGCACAATTTAAGAAAATCCTAGTTATATCTTGCTAAATACTCAATAGAAAATAAGGAAGTATCCATTTTCTAACATACACACTTAGTTTCAGAAGGAGTAATGTAGCAGCTTACACCTTGGGTGTATTTTAAGAAAATCCAAGCTATATCTTGGTATAAAAAAATAAATGGGTTCATGTTAGGAAATCCTCTATATATGACCCCAAGTGGTTGGTTGAAGCAAGACAGTCTTGCATCTAGCAGGTCAGGGAGAGGTAGATGTAAGTTCTTCCGTGTTATTTTTGAGCCTGGAGGCTTTCCCCTGCGTTGGATTGGGGACTATTCCCTCCCCTAAATCTTTAATTACCTTTCTCTTCATTGATTCTTGAAGTTAACCACTCTAACAAAACAAACAACCGCTTCTGTTCCTGCATCTAGTCAAGCTAAGCTGTGAACATGTTTACAAGAATATCCACTCTACCTTTCTGTTGGAAATAAGAATTTTGTGAATATCTGCTAGAAAAGATTTCCTTCTGGAGAAGCTGAGACCAAGGGTGTTGAGCTTTGCTCTTTGTGGCAGGAGAACGTGAAGAATTCAGCTTGGCATCCATTTAAAGTGATCACAGATGATATAAAGTAGAGGTTTGTGCCACCATGACATGCTTCCTGTGTTCATAACGGAGTTCCGTCTTTTAATGATTAGTTGACGTGGTTACTTGAAATGCTCTGTTCACACATTGAAGAAATTTGTTCTATATGCTTTCTTGTCCCAAGAAAATGGTTTTAATTAGTAATTAATTAATTATATAATTTGTAGTTAAGTTACGAACTTGGCTTGGCATACGTAAAAGATCCTGTGTTATGCTCTTTCACCTCCTGATTTGGCTTATATCACTAATAATTGTAGCAGAGTAGCATAATACTGAAACACATAATGATGTTGCATTATACAGAATATTATAGAAGAGGAAGATGACAAGTTACAAAGCCTCAAGCAGGAATGGGGAGATGAGATACATTCAGTTGTTGTTGAAGCCTTGAAGGAAATAAACGAATACAATGCAAGCGGTGGGTATCCAGTGGTGGAGCTACGGAACTTGAAGGAAAAAAGAAAGGTTACTTTGAAAGAAGTTATCAATTATATTGTGGATAATATCAAACTAGCAGTTGATATTTTTTTATCATTGCTTTGTGTGGCTGATTAAAGAGCAACATTGATATTCCTGTGATGGGTTCTCTGATTAAAATAGAATTTGGAAAGAAAAGAATAAAATACTTGGATGCATCTCTGTGTGCATGTGATAACTGTTAAACTTATATAGGGTAGAGTGATAAATAATTTGTATGTGAACAATGAAGTGATTGATCAACAGAAATGAGTTATATACGGGTAGTACGTTGTTAACAAACCTCATTTCCCATCCTTTAGACCATCTATTAGTTGTTTTCTGTTTTCTTCAATCACAGCATCAATAGGTTTTTGCTTATCCTAAAGACCATATCTTTAAACCTATCGTTCATCCCAAGCCAAAAGTAAAAACATCACATAATATAAGTGAAATGCAACTGCTAAGCTAAAACAACAATAACTACACGTTCTATTCAGATGCAATATACTTGATACTTCACAACAACTTCAAAGAATCCATAAAAAAATTTGACATTCTCAATAAACAAATAAACATATACTAATCACCTTTATTAATGATACAGTAAACTGTGACCTAAACAAAAGTAAACAAGTCTCACTCACCAAGAATTCAGAAAATAATATCGTCGTCTTTGTCCGCCACAGCCAACAAATTGCGAGAAGAATCGAAAGAAACCCCTTTGTTCAAAGGCGCATCGGAGGAGGACCGCATCTGCAACTGCAACTGCAACTGCATCTGCTTCTGAATCTCCCTCTTCTTATAGCCCTGAATCTTCTTGAGCCTGAAGAAATCCTCCCTCTCCAACTCATCCAATTCGCCCTTGATGTAACTAATGGTATTCTCGAGGCGCGGCTTCACCACGTTCTCGAGCGCGTTAACCCTGCGATTGGTGGTCTTGATGGCCTCGTCGAGCGTGAGAAACGAGGTCTGGAGCGAGGCGAGTTCCACGAGGACCTCGATGGCCCTGACGTAGGCGGCGCGGCACTGCTGCACCTGCTGGCCGCCGCGGGCGAGGCCGGTGAGGTCGCTCCTGGCGGCGTCGGCGTCGGCGGCGTGCTCGAACTTGGGGAGCTTGACGCCGGCGACGTTCTCCTGGCGGGAGCGGACGCGGAGCGAGGCCTCGCGCACGTTCTCGAGGACCACGTGCTTGATGCTGTCGCCGGCCACGTACTTGGCCTCCGTGAGCGCGAACGACGACGTTTTCATTATGTCGCCCATGGACTCCTTCGTGGACACGATCTTCTTCAGGATCTGCCGGAACTGCACCGTCAGCGCGTCGCTCTTCTTCTTCAGGAGCGCGTGGCCGCGCGTGGCGCCCACCAGACGCGCCTTCACCACTCCCAGCATCGTCACCGTGGGGACCACGTTCAGACGCTGCGTTTGCCCCGACATCGTGTCTTGGCGACGGAAATCGAGAGCAGAGAGAGAATGATCGAGAGAGAGAGAGAGTGTGTGTGTGTGAGTTGGATCAAATGGTTTTTTGGTGGGAATGGGCTTTAAATTATTGGCTTAGGTTGCTTCCTTTCTTGTCATCATTGTAATTTTGCTTATGATATATATATATATAT